GAGTTCTGGTGTGTACTGGTGGGTTGATCAATTGGTTTCTTCATTATCTTTGTAATATCTCAGTATCTAGCTAACCATAAGAGGCTCTCTAAGTATTGGTACACATGCATATCAGTAATAAGTGATGCTTAAAACAACATAGAGATCCAGGCAAGGTAGCACATGCCTGTAATTTCAGCTACCTGGGAGGTTGAGGCAGAACGATGGTGATTTTGAGGCAAATTGGGAAAACTAAAAGAGGCCATTCACATTCACTTGAATTAGAGGAGCTTTCTGGAAAATAGCTCATCCTCTCTGTTCTTTTCTCCTATAACATCCCTGGAGACAGCACACGACTGTATGAATGTGTAATGACAGCAAATCAAAAGAGTGACGACCCCTGTTTATTGAGCCTCTACTGTCTGCTAGCATCACCAGGCAGAGTTCCATGTATCCCTCATGGGAGCATGACATTGCAGAACTGAAGCTAGAGAGACTAGAGACCTTGCTCAAGTTCACACCGCCAGAAGCCACGTCCATGGGCTCCAGACTCTGCACTGAACCACAGCCGTACCTCGCCCAGAAACCCAACAGAGTCTTAACGTGTCTGAGCTTGAAGAAACATGGGCCTCACCTTGCCTGCACCCCTTATTTTGGAAAAGGAAAATTGTGTTTTAGTATTAAATTTTATCAGTTAAAATGCAGTTTTCTGTGTTGTTCAGTTCATCTAGACTAAAGTGAGATTTCAAGTTATCAAAACTGTCTTCCATTGTGAGACATGACGCATACCTTTTCCTTTTTTGTTAGAAAACAAACAGAAACACACCAGCTTGTACGTCATTAGTCACCTAAGACAGTGGGATAACCCAGGGAACTAGCTGAGCCACCAGCAAACCACAGATTTCTGCACATTCTATCTTGGTAAGAGTTGCAGTTTTTTGATATCTGCGCTTCCTCTTTCTAATTTGCCCCGGGTGTTCTTTCAGTAGCAAAGAATTTTTTTTTTTTTTATTTACTATGTACACAGAAGAGAGTGCCAGATCTCATTACAGACGGTTGTGAGTCACCACGTGGGTGCTGGGGAATTGAACTCGGGACCTCTGGAAGAGCAGTCAGTGCTCTTAACTTCTGAGCCATCTCTCCAGCCCACAAAGAATATTCTCCCCCCCCCCGACCCCCCGAGACAGGGTTTCTCTGTATAGCTTTGCGCCTTTCCTGGAACTCACTTGGTAGCCCAGGCTGGCCTCGAGCTCACAGAGATCTGCCTGGCTCTGCTTCCCAAGTGCTGAGATTAAAGGCATGTGCCATCACCGCCTGGCAGAATATTCTTAATAAAGAAATTTTGTGAATTAGATGGCGAGTGTTTCTTAAGGAAGCTTTGATCATACCATTTCATGTTCGTAACTCAGTGTTTTTAGTGTGTTTACAGATAAGCTCCTCATCACAACGAGAAGCCATAGTCTACCGATTGCATCCTTACTTAGCCACCCCCTCAGCCTTAAGCAGCCACTAATATACTTGCTGACCCTACAGTTTTGTCTGTCCTGGGTATTTCTTTTTCTTTTTTAATATTTATTTATTTATTTATTTATTACATATACTGTGCTCTATCTGCATGTACACCTGCAGACCAGAAGAGGGCAACAGGTAGTTGTGAGCCATCATGTGGTTGCTGGGAATTGAACTCAGGACCTCTGGAAGAACAAGTAGTGCTCTTAACCACTGAGCCATCCCTCCAGCCCTGTCCTGGGTATTTCATATAACTGGCTGCACTAGTGTGTGGTCTGTAGCCTGTGTGACTGGCTTCTTTAACTTTACATACTGTCATAGCATGTATCATTCCTTTTTATGGCCAGACATCATGCCATTGTATTGACAGGTTACACTGGGTTTATCCAGTAATCCACTGACATCTGGACACTGGGCTGGGTCCACTTTTAGCCACCATAAAGTGTATTGCTGTGAAAATTCATATATAAGTTTCTGTTTAAACATTTATTTTCAGTTCCTTTGATTATGAGTGGAGTTGCTGGGTCATAAGATGACTCTGTTTTTGAGGAACTGCCAAGTCATTTCCTACAGAAGGGGTATCATTTTACATTCCCATAAAAAGTTAAGAGAGTTCCAACCTTTCCACATCCTTACCAACACAAATTATTTTCTGTTTGGTGGGATTTAATTAAAATTAAATTTTAATTTGATTTAAAAATATTATTGTGTCCATGAGAATAGACATTAGTGCCATTTTGTCTTGAGTATAATTTGAATTTTTCTAATCTCTAATGGTGCTGAGATTTTTTTCCCCCAATTGTTTGCTGGTTATTTATATGTCTTCTTTTGAAAAACATGCATTTCAATCCTTGTCCCTTTGGATCTTTTTGTTGTTGTTGTTGTTGCTATTGTTTAATTGGAAAGTTCTTTATATATTCTAGATTCTAAGACCTTAACAGATCCATGGTTTTAAAACATTTCTTCCCAATTCTGTGAGCTGTCATTTTATTTTATTAAGCTTTTTTGGTGTGTTAAATATCTAATTTTATAAAGTTCAACTTTTAGTTTTGTCTTGCTTTTGTATTTCAAGACAGGATTTCTCTGTGTAGCTGTGGCTGTCCTGGAACTCTCTCTGTAGACCAGGCTGGCCTCAAATTCACAGAGATCCGCCTGCCTCTGCCTCCCCAGTGCTGGGATTAAAGGCATGCGCCACCACTGCCTGGGTTAAAGTTCAATTCACTAATCTTTCTTTAGCTTCATGATTTTAAATTTTTTAAATTTAATTTAGACTCTCTCCTTCTTCCAGGAGGGTTCTAGGGATTGAACTCGGGTCTTTAGGCTTAGCAGCAGGTGCTTTTACTGGCTGAGCCATCTCAACAGCCCACATTCCATGTGATTTTAACACTATATATATATATATTTTTTTTTTTAAATCATTGTTTCATAAAAGGTCATAAATGCTTGTAAATATAATTCTTCTTAAAAGTTTTATAGCTCCACTTCTTAACTTCAGGTCTTTATATAATTTTGAGTGCACTTTTATATGTAATATAAGTGAGGGTCCAGTCGTGTGTTTGTGTGTGCGCACGCATGTGCGCGCACATCAAGTTGTCCCAGGACCATTTGTTAAAAAGAGTATTATTTCTCTGTAAATGCTCTTCTCATCTCTGCCAATAATCAGTTGAAAATAGACACAGGGGTTTATTTCTGAACTATTATGTTACTTTGTTTATCTACAGCCTGTCCTCAGTCTGTGTTAATTCCTCTGTGTTATGATCAGTTTCGAAATAGTGAAATACAAATATTCCTCCTTTGGGCTGGCGAGATGGCTCAGTGGTTAAGGGCACAGCCTGCTCTTCCAGGGGTCCTGAGTTCAACTCCCAGCAACCACATGGTGGCTCACAACCATCTCTAGTGGGATCTGATGCCCTCTTCTAGCATAAAGTTGTACATGCAGATAAAGCACTCATATAGATAAATAAGTAACAAATAGTTCTCCTTTTGTCCTTTCTCAGGATTGGCTGGCTTTTCTGGATCCCTTGAAATTCTATAAGGACTTTGGTATTAGCTTGTCACAAGCGTATCATTTTCTGCTTCTATGTACGTGGAAGAAGATTCAACAGTCCTAGAGAGCTGTTCTCTTGCAAAGAGACATGCTCAATAGAAAATACTAATATCTTACTCTGTGCAATTGAGTCTTGAGATCAATTCACAGCAGAGTCCAAAATAAAAATGACCCTGTTTTGTGTGTATGTGTGTGTGTGTAAAGGGGCTGAGGGTATGTGCATTTCTTCCTCCATGCTTGTATGATCACTTGAAGATATCAAAATGTGTTCATAATTTTTCTCACCTTTTCATCATAACTTCTCTGGGATTTAGAGAGGCATGGATTTGTTGTCTTATGTAGTTTTCAATAAAATAATTTAGACACAGAGAAGATTAAAACGTGACTTGTTCAGAAAGATAAGGCAGAGAGTATAGCAACTGTCCTGGTTTCCCTGCGTGGAAAACTGTTAGTGCTAGAACCGTAGATGTCTTAAGGGAACTGGACTGAGCTGGTCACTGTACTGAGTAACAGAGGCAGGGCAAGCGATCCAGCTGTTTAACTCTTAGCATTTTCACTACTGAGGTTGACCAATCAGGATTCTCCTTTGGAAAATTCTGCTTAAACCTCTTTCTTTGTACATCTTTTCTGTACTTTTCAAAAATATGTGTCTACGTGTATCTGAGGTGTGTGCATGTCTGCATGTGTATGTCTGCGTGTCTGTGAGTATAGGTATGTGCAGAGGTCAGAAGGCAGCTTTGGGTATAGCTGTTTGCCTTCCTCACTGTTTGAATTCTCATGTTCACTGTTGCTCATACCAGGTTATCTGGCCTGGAAGCTTCTGGGGATTCTCTTGCCTGTCTCTCATCCTATGTAGGCACATCAGGATTACAGATGTGCACCATGGCTTCTGGGGATTCTCCTGCCTGTCTCTCATCCTGTGTAGGCACATCAGGATTACAGATGTGCACCATGGCTTCTGGGGATTCTCCTGCCTGTCTTTCATCCTGTGTAGGCACATCAGGATTACAGTTTATATTTCCCTACTGTGGTTGACCAATCAGGCTTCTCTTTTGTGCACCACAGCTTCTGGCTTTGTGTATGTTTCGGGTGTCGGAACTCTGGTCCTCAAGTTTGTGCAGCAAGGGCTTTATTCATTGAGCATGTCCCCAGCCCCTCCAGCATCTTCTCTTGAGTACTGCCTTGTTAGATATCAGCTACCCCATCCCTTAGGAATCCCTTGTCTTTCGTGGTGTAGCCCCAGGCAGGCTTTACATTTTCTCCTTTCTCTGGGTTCTGATGGTTGCTTATGTTCATCTTTCCTCTCCCCTGCAGACTCAGAGGTCACCAAGGTGTGGACCTTCCAATAAGCACTGTTTCCTGACTGGAAGAAAGTAGGCGAGCATTCAAAACACTTTCAGGGTTGGGAAAGTTCCCTACGGTGCCATTTAATAGAATTTAGACATGAAAGAGAAACAAGAGCCACTTAGTGCCAGGAACACAAGTTGTATATTTATTGCATGTGTGTGGATTTTAACAAACAAAATGAGGCTCAGTACAAATCCATGACCCGTCTCAGGGAGCCGACTTTGGCATCCATGGCGCCCCAGTCATGGTAGCGCCTGTAGTCTCCGGGTCTGAGCAGGTACTGCCGGCCTCGGTAGTTGGGCATCTCGTAGAGGACCCAGCAGCCTTCCAGCACGTGCATAGAGTAGATCTCGTTGAGGCGGAAGCGATCATGGATGCAGGAGCAGTCTTCTGTGAGCTCAGACACAAGGCCCCGGTAGTCATCTCTCTCGTACAGCCTTATCCTGTGAGAGCTGGTCTGTTGTGACGGTAAACAAAAGAGGAAAAGTGACGATTTATACGCTTGGTGTTGCAGCCTGCTTGCTCCTTCGCAAAACACGGGTTTCGGGTGGATCTGTCAAGTACGCTTCTTCCCTAATCCCACTCCTTGCGCTGTTGTTCTAGCAAATTAGGAAATGCACCCACATAAAGCGACCTGACCAGTGAACTGGAGCCCGTGTGGAGGAGACTAACACTGAAAAGGCAGGGAGTGAAAGCATTTACGGCCCATGTAACCAAATCCTACCGAGCTCGCTTTGAAGCCGCCTTGTGTACACATGATGTGCAATGATTTGGATTTGCTTTGAGTCCACATACCTTTCTTTTTCTTTTATTTCTTAAAAGAAAAAAAAAGACAGGAAATGCGGACTGTATCTCATGAAATCCTAGTTACCTGTCTCATAAGAAACTAGACAATAGCTGAGCATTAGAAAGAAAGAAAGAAAGAAAGAAAGAAAGAAAGAAAGAAAGAAAGAAAGAAAGAAAGAAAGAAAGAAAGAAACTAGTCAGTAATACCTCCTGAAAAATATAAAGCCATACAAGGTGAGACCCATGGTTCTTGGTGGGTGTGGGAGAATATAGTAAAGAGAAATCTCACCAATACAGTCAGAATACACTAGAACTAACCAAACTTAATTAATTGAGTTTCAAATGTACTTAGATATTTTAAAATTGACAAATAGTATGTGTGTATTTATTAGGTATATTATGGTGCTTTTAAAGTAAGCACCATGGTTAAATCTACCTGATTAGATATAGGGGTAAATATATATTTTTATTATATAATATATACATATATATTATATATGATATATAATATATTGTATGTATATATATATATATATTTACCTCACATCATTATCAGTTTCTGGTGAGAACACATAGAATCTATTCTTTCAGCATTTTTATCATGTGTTTAAGATGTATCTATTTTTATTTTATGTGGCTGAGTGTTTGCCTGTGTGTATGTAAGTATACTACATGAGCTGTACTTGGTGCTCATGGAGACCAAAACAGGGCATGGGATTCCCTGGAACTGGAGTTACAGACAGTTGTGAGCCATTTGTGGGTGCTGGGATCTGAACCCAGCTACCCTAGAAAGGTAGCCAGTGCTCCTAATCACTGAGCCATCTTTTCAGCCTCATCTCTAGCATTTTTAATGGCTCTAACACATAGCATGAACTGTCATCAATGTGCTATACAATAGATCTCTAGAACGATCATCACTCCAAACCTCTGCTCCCCTGCTCTGCCGCTCTAGCCTCTAGTAAGCACTGTTCTCGGTTAAGGACAGAACTGCTGCTTGGGACAGAAGTCAGGGCTGCATGCTTGCTAGGCAAGTGCATGGCCAACCACTGAGCCAAGTCTCCAACCTGATCTTCTCTCCTCCGTAAACCTGCTGCTTTACAGAACAGATGACCTTTATGGAGACCTGCCTGGCTTATTTCTTCTAGCACAGTGCCCTCTAGGTTCATCCATGTCATTGCAAACGACCAGCTTTCCTTCTTTTATGGCTGAAGGGTACGTGATTAGTCAGTCGGGTTTAATTTTAAAGGTTGTGCTAGGGCTTTTATGTCCTAAAACAACATTGATGTCCTTAAGTAAGAAATAATATATTGCTGTAAATATAAATATATATATAGCATATACATATATATTTTCCTTCTATTTAGGTTTGCCAGTCGAGCCTTGATATACTTAGTGTGAGCACTTGTCCAGCATTCCTACCCCTGCTGAGAACACTAGAACACAGTGGAAACAAACTGACAAATAGGAACACCCGATGTTCTCACGGCAGCCAGGCTGAAGCAATACTCACGTAAGGGATGGAGCGGCAGGAGCGGATGGAGTCGCTGAAACCCATCCACTGTTGGTAGTCAGGGTAGTCCCCACGCCTCAGGAAGTACTGATAGCCCTGGTAGTTGGGGCGCTCATAGAGCATCCAGCAGCCACTGTCCACTCGGATGGAGTTGCAGCGGCTGAAGTAGGTCTGCAGGTTGGGGCAGTCGCTGCTGCACTCATAGCAGCGGCCCTGGAAGCCGCGGTCCTCGTAGAAGGTGATCTGTGAAGGAAGAACGGGAGACAGAACATGGTCAACTGGAAGGCACGTTCCCGACGCGGAGGAAACACTCGGCAAACCTGGCGGGTTCTCTCTCGGCTCACCTTTCCCATCGTTGTTGACAGCAAGAGATCAGTGTTGAGCGTGATGGGGACAGGGGTGGCTGCTGGTATATATAGCAGGATTGGCTGCTGTGCTGGCAGGAACCACACAAAAGGGACCTGGGGGGAATGCGTGAGGGGATTTCTGTGTTCTCTCGCTTTTTCATTGGGGATCATGGGGTAGGGGGCTCTCATTCTCTCTGGCATTTTCGAGTTGTCCTCACTAACTCCAGTGAAAGGCATTGAAGTCAGCAGAGCCATTATGGCCGTGGAGACAAAGGGCGCGCTTCTCATCCTATGCAGCTCTCTAGAAATCCATGACGTACCCAGCATTTTGCAATGTTTGCCTATAGAAAGTGCTGAGGTGGAGGTCGGTGCCTCCACTGGTGAGGAGCTCAGGAGAATCATGAGTTCCAGCAGCACTCTGAGGCACCAAGAGGCAGCAGAAAAACAAACAAACAACAAATCTCTCATTGAAAAACAGTTGCACATCTTTATCTGTATAATACAGATTTGATTTTCAAACTTGCACGGGTTTAAAATGAAAAGATTAGAACTGTGCAGAGACTAAAATGTCGATCGACCTTGGTCATCAAGGAATGGTACGCTTATATATAGGTCCTCTTATAATTTTTTTTATTTTGATGTTAAAATTTCTTTAACTTTCTATTATAAATGTATATTGCAAATTCAGTGGGTGAAAGCAGTAAAATCAAATTTTAAATGCATGATTTTTTGAGTTAATGCTTAAACACACACACACACACACACACAGACACACACACTCACACACACATATATATACAAGCAAAGGGCTTTTCCATTCTCTCAGCCACTACCCTTTTCCCAGCGTTATTTTTAGTGCTACGGTTTGTCTGCATTTTCCCTCACGAAAATGTCCATTTCCCTGAGCCAGGATGGCCACCATGCGAACTTCCTTATTTGTTGCCAGCTGATGCAGAGTGCTTCTCCACCGCAGGGGTGGAGGATCACTCAACCTCAGATTATCTTCTGTTATCCCAGTCCATGCCTATGGAGGAGGTGAAGTCATACCTATTTTGGCTTCCTGCCCATGAGGAGTCTCTCAAAAGACACCCAACTAGAGTTAACAGTGCAGGCACAATGCCCAAATGAAAAATCCTCAGCCATCACTCACGTGACCTGTATAGATGGTAAAAGCGCAGACTGCAAGAGGCGTCTTCTCACAGCTAGCAAGGCTGTACAGAAGCAAACCCGGCCAAGTCCCCGGGGGCTGGAGGCTTGGCGAGGACCACAGGCCACTGATCTCCTCCTCTGCGTCCATCCTGGTGTTCCAAGGATCCTGGTAAGCCTCAAGTACAGCTGTGGTCAAGCACCTCGTAGAAAGGCCCACACTGACCTCCCCAGCCACAACCTCACGTGGGAGTACACTACTGTTTTCAGAAGAGGTCAACAAACTCACCTGACTTTGCATGTGGCACTAAGACCATGCCACAGAAAGATGGCTGGCCCGGTCCTTAGGAAAGGAGAGGTATAATGTGCTGACATTCATCTGATGAAGTTGTTACTGCAAACTGGAGCGGCCCCAAAAGAGCAGGCCATTTTCTTTCCCTGGCAGTCATCGGGTTCTACCCAGAGAAAGCCAGCATCCATTTCTCTTTTCAAACTTTATTGAAATTGAATGAGTTTACATTTTCTCTATCGGAAAGTATGCTAAAGAGAAATTAATTTTATGTGGGGTTGAAACTTAGGAAAACCGCCTCCTTCTCCAGCATTCTATGCAATATTTAATGCTACACATTTGCTAAAACGTGGATCAAAACCAGATTGTCTAAACCCATCCAGAAACGGTGAACTCCCTCTGAATGCTCCATCAGTCTTCCAAGCATACAATGAAGTAGCATGGGATATACACATTTTTTTTTCCTTTTACCAAAATAGAGGTGTGCGCTGTGCTTCCAAGAGAAGAAAACTCAAGAGCAAGCCTGAGAGCCAATGCAGCGGACAGCAACAGCGAAGTGCACAGAGAGTGTGTGGTTGACAACCGCAGCTTTAAGGCGAAGCTTCCTGTCTGCTTCCAGAGGCTCTGCTATGCATCCGTGGTACTAGTTCTCATTTCTAAGTGACCTGCAGAATGAAAGGATGGTTATGGCACCAAGCACATCAGTATAACACAGACACATACACCAGCTTTCTATCAACAGGGGGTTAAAGTCAAGCATCGGGTACCAACAGAGATGCATTAGATCCATGCAGATGTAAAAGAATTTCTACGGAACATTTCTGAAATACCTGAAAATGAATTATATTTCTCAACTGACAGCAGTATGTGATCTCACGTTGGCTCCTTAAAGGGGACATTATTTGGGCAAGTGAAACAAAGAATGCTATGTGGGTAATAGATTAGATAAAAGTAGCAGTGTTTTAGATTCTGAAGTTAATAATTGGTTACTTAAGAGAATGACTTTGCTTTTGGGATCTACAAAGTAAAATATGCAGGGTAAGTTGATAGGTATGTGCAAGTTTTAATAGTTCAGAAAAGATTATCAATATCCATACACACAAACAGAAAGACAGAAGGGAGAAGAGACAAAGAGAGGCATAAAGCTAGTGTCACAAAAGTAATGATAGATGGTGAATCTGTGTCCTTTGTACTAAGGCAACATTTCTCTCGGCTTGGAATTATTAAACTTAAAAATCATAAAAGTCAAACTTCTTTGGACTAGCATTACCCAACATCAATCATTTTCCAGCTCTGTACTGGTAGCGTATTATTTTAAGTTTTGCATATATTGCTTTGGATTTAAGTTTAAATTCTCCTTCCTCTGTTTGGCTTCCTTCCACAATGCCGTGGGTTCTCCGGGAATGGGAAGAGAAGGAACAGGTGTCTTTCTGCTTGGTATGGTCTTGGTGAGTCTCTGAGCTTTTATACATACATTAACTCATTTAGGTCTTGAAACAACCCGGTGAGGTCATAATATACTTTCTTTTATAGCAAAGAAAGTAAGGAACAGAGAGATTAGCTTTCCCGGGAAATGTTGCTCATGTCCATTTTGATTAAAACAAGCTACCAATGCAATGAAAAGAAATCCTTAGAAGTTTCCCAGAGTAGCTGGGAGTTGTAAAAACAGTTTTCACCTTTCTTTTAGTTTATGAAGAAATTTAGTGGCTGGAAATGAAAATAAAATGATGAAGAAAGAATTGTTTTACACTGAGGTTTAAAAAGTGGGTCTTTTTTTCAGCTCAAAGATACAACATTATATCCATAAGTCATAAGAGAAAACAGTGAATACCAAATATGTAAGATTAAAAAAAAATTTCTCAAAAAAAAAGCCGGGCAGTGGTGGTGCACGCCTTTAAATCTAGCACTAGGGAGGCAGCGCCAGGCGGATCTCTGTGAGTTCGAGGCCAGCCTGGGCTACCAAGTGAGCTCCAGGAAAGGCGCAAAGCTACACAGGGAAACCCTGTCTCGAAAAAAGATAAAATCATATTTTCTATACTTTATGAAACATTTACTTATTTAATTATAACAAGAATTGTAACAAACCACTGTTACATATGCATATATATATATGTATATGTAGCAAATATTGGAATATCATAAGACATGTTAACAGCTGTTAGTTATAAATCACGGGAAAGGAGTGTAGGCATGAAATGGTTAAACAGTCTGTTCAGAACCATACAGCTGATAAGTAATGGCTCTGTATTCACATCCAGAACCTCGAACTCCAAATACTCAATGTTCATCACAGCATAGACAAAGTCATCCCACAACACTCATGTTTAGACAGACTCTGTTCTTGAGCTGTGTGTATGAGCACCGACATTCATTACAATATAGACAAAGTCATCCTACAAACAACACCCATGTTTAGACATACTCTGTTCTTGAGCTGTGTGTGTACGAGCACCTTTTCCGGGATTCCCATTTGGGACCAGTGCTCTCTTTGTATTGCTGCTGGAGGTTTTTTTAGACATTGCTCCTCTCCTCAACTTGACACCTGCAGACATGGAGAGTACCCACGTCAGAGTATAAACCTGTAGAAAAATGTGCCCACCACCGTCTTAGATCTTGCCTTTTTGGATTGCATTGCTCCCCCTGACCAAAGGATCTAAGAAATAAACCTTTCTGGTTAGGGTAATGTAGGAGAGGGGAACTCAAGTTCTGAAGGGACTTTTTGTTTTTTTTAATCTCACCAGATAGAAATCTAATCAGTGTCATCATTTAACCTCACTCGGTGGGCCCGCCCCCTACTTAACTCTCTCTACTGCCGGAAGGAAGGAGGCAAACTTACTCTGTCTGCGGTTGCACTCGGCTGCGTTGGGTGCTGTCAACATGGCAAAGGGGTGCAGAGAGCGGCGGGGTAACAGAGCCCGGGAGACCTGAAAGAAGACAGTTCTGTCTCACAGCCGTGTGAGCCTCATCTGGGGAGCACCTGCTACTTACAGCACCCCGAGTCCTGGTGAACTGTGTCGCCGAGGCACCTGAAAGGAGGGTGACCACGGTTTTCGTCTACAGCCTCTGCCCTGTGCTTGTTCCCGTAACACAGAAGTCCCGTTTGCACCGGACATTCCTCACGGTTCCCTCTCCGGGCAAGACTCCCTTTTCTGCCCCAGGGTCCTGCCTTTCCTTTGCTGTGGTGCTCAAGTATTATTCCCTTGTCTGAGTGAGGACCTTGCCCTGACATCATGCCCTCATCTGCTGCCTCCCACCCCCACAAATGGATGCACAGTATAGGCTGGACACTGCTACTTATGCCCCTGGAATGTTTTTAGCGTGCTCTTAACTTTATTAGTAATCTCTAAAATATATATATAATAAAATATATAATATAACAAATATTAAATAAATAATAATATAATAAATAAAATATATATATAATAAAATATATATATATATATAATTACATAACTTCCTCCATTTTCTCTTCTCCCCAACTCCTCCCATGCCCTTCCATCTCTAGCTGGTGGCCTAATTTATTATTGTCACATGTATATAAATGCATAAATATACCAATGCAACCTGGTGGGTCCATTTAGTGAGGCTGTGTGTATATGATCCAGGACTGACTACTTTGTATCAGATAACCAATCAAGAGATTCGGCCTGGGGGAGGCTTATTTCCCCCTGGAATGTTTTAAGACACCAGAACAACAGAGTCTGATGTAAATTTTTAAGATCATCTGGGGGCTCAGTGGAAGAACGCTCGTCTGCCACGCAGAGGCCCTTGATTCACTCTCAGCAAAGAAAAAAAAATAAATCGAACAAAAAGATCCCCTTGGCTTCTTTGTGAGAAATACATGGGAAGGTGGAAGCAGAGAGGCCATTTAATTTCAGAGCCTTGGCGCGAACCTAACAGATACTAGCTAATAGCTCCCCCCAAGTTCTTAAGTAGCCGAATAACTACGGTTTTAGTCGAGGCACTGGCAGTTAACAACATGGATGTTATTTCCAAGTTGGCCGTGTTTGAATGTGAGCTGCATTGTTATAGCATATGTGGCCTTGCTGCAGGACACGTGGGATGGTAAGGCTACCTTTACATCCTGTATCATACTGTGGAATGATCTTTGTACACTGCAAATATACATTGCTCTCATTGTGATGTGTTTTGAACGTCAACTTTACACCTGAGAGAGGGAATCTCAATCAGCAATTGTTTAGATTAGGTTGGCCTGTGGGCACAGCCATGGGGTATTATTCTCGTGGCATTAATAGAGGTGGGAAGATCCTCCCCACTGTGGGTGGCACTATTCCCTAGCGGGGGACAGTGGATGGTGTTAACAGTGAAGAAGCAAGTCAAACACTAGCGAGAGCATGCACCGACTCACTGCGCTCTGCCTTGACTGTGGATGTACGGTGTGACCTTCGAGCGCTCCAAGTTCCTGCCCCCTTGACCTCCCCACCGTGATGGACTAGACCCTGAAACTGTGAGTCACACGAACCCTTTATCCCTCAAAGTGTCAGGTTCTTTAGGATGGCATCAGGAAACAAACTGAAATGCCTGTTTAGGAAGGTGACCTTACGGCACAAGAGCTATGGGAAAAGAGGCTTTAGGTCAGAAAGGGTAGCTATGGCTGCTGTGTGCCAGGCATAAGGAAAGGGAAGCTGGCTCCTGTGCCATCCTTGATAAAAACAAAACCAAAAAAGCAGGTTATTTATTGGGCTCCGGCGTTCTTGCCTGAGGAGGAGGTAAACCTGAGATTTGCGGAGGTCACTGCCAACCTGTCTATCTGATGATGTTTCCCAAGTCCTGATACTCTATGACTCACACCAGCCATTCACTTAGCTTCCTGTGTGGTTTATATGAAGGATTATTATACAAGCAGGGTGACGCTTGGATCCTAATCTGGAGTTAATCGTGTTTTCTCTAACTCCGGACCTGTTTTCATCATCTCTGTGTTAAAGGATTGTATCAGTCACATCTTAGCCCAGGAGCCTGGTAAACGCCACAGCACAGTCAGCAGAAGTTTCTTCGAGATGAGGATGTGTTAAGGCATGCAGGAACTGATCCAAAGAAGGCATGGGGAGACACAAGGGAAGAGGTAAGGGTCATGTCTTTATCTCCCGCCAATCAAACTGAAGTGGTAATTTATTTAATTATCGCTATGGCAACAGTAAAGGGGAGGAGGAGTGGGGGGAGGAGGGGGGCAAAAAGGAGGCAAGGGAGAGGTGAAATGATATAAATATATTTTAAATAGATAAATAAAAATATTGTTATGACCTCATCAAGACAGGAAGTGGGGGTGGGTGGGCTCTGACCCTTGGTGTCAGAACAATTGGACAGACTCTTACAACTATCAGGCTTATCAGAGATGAAACCAGGCATATTGTTTGGAAAGATAGCTCTCACATACCCAGGGAGTTCTGAAAACGTAGCTGGGATATTGCAAAAATATATTTCAGAACATTTTAATGTTGGTGAAAAAACTGACAAATTGGGAAAGCCTATGCCTTGGCTGATGCTATCCTATAGTAGTTTTTCTAAAAGTTATAACTCAGTCTTGCGGGGAGGGGGAGGCAGAAATGGGGAGATGGAAAGAGACAGAACAATTCATCAGAAAGATGGACAACCTTAATGTGTACTTTCCCAGAGAGGACATATATATAGTTGTTGATTGGTGATTAGAATATGATTTAAAGCCACAGATGACAGAGGCAGGAAGATTACAAGTTCAAAGTCGTCCTTTCCTATGTGGTGAGTTTAAGGTCAGCCTGTGCTACGAGACTTCCTCTCAAACAAACAAACAAACAAACAAACAAACACACATCCATAACAACCACTACCAACAAAGTCCAGGGTGAATTCCTAATTTACACATTCTCTCTACGTTGGAAACAGCAATGTAGATAGCATACACTGCTGATAGAACAGTGTCGTCACTTTGGAAAGGCTTCATGGAAGCGTTGAGCAAGCTCATATTCTACAATTTAGCAAAACTTCCTAGGCACACACCATCCAGGAACTCGGGCTGCTCAACAGAAACACACAGAAGAAACAACTCAGAAGTCTAAATTCCCTCATACTCAGCAAGAGAGATACCATACCTCGATAAACCAATAGGAGAGTGATCAAGGACCTGACACCAGCCTCTGGCTTCCACATACATTTGCACAGTTGGGCATGCACACACATGCAACTATGCATATACACAGAATGCACACTATACACACACAAACATGCAAAGTAAAATTAAAGGTGTTGTGTGATTGAGGAGGACACATGATGTTGATCTTGGGCCTCCAAAACCAGGTGTGCATACATACACACACACACACACACACACACACACACACACACACACACACATATATATACACTCGCTTGCAAGACTCAAGATGTGGCTCTGAGACAGAGTGCTTGTCTACGAGGTGCAGGAGGCACAAGGCACTGTCTTCAATCCCAGCACTGCAGAAACATAAACAGAACCCACCACTGTGTGAGATGAAATGCCATGTACTTAAAGTTGCATAGGTGGTGAAAGCATGATCGGCAGGCAAGAACGGTAAGCTCTGGAGACCGGCACGTCTCACGCACTCCTTAGGCTCGTCTGCTTAGTCATTATACTTTATCATGTATGGTGTCAACTGGGACATAATTAACATTGATGGTATACTAAGCCCTCCAGGACCTGGAGTCTGGGTGGACATAACTATTATCAAAGGCATGTTTTTGGATCCCCGGTTACTCCAATATGTTAATCTCCAGCTTTTGTTGAAAATGTAGGTTCACGGGCGGATCTCTATGAGTTCAAGTCCAGCCTGGTCTGCAGAGAGAGTTCCTGGACAGCCAGGGTGGTTACACAGAGAAACACTGTCTTGGAAGAGAGAGAGAGAGAGAGAGAGAGAGAGAGAGAGAGAGAGAGAGAGAGAGAGAGAGAGAGAAGGGGGGAGGGAGGGAGGGAAGGAGGGAGGGAAGGAGGGGAGAGGAAGAAAGAAAAGAAAGAAAAAGAAAATGTAGGTCACTCTGTTTACAACAGGGCCACATCTTCATGTCTGTACAAATTAGTTTGAGGGAAAATCCTTCAAGGAGGTACATGAAGTAAATGAGAGAGGGTAGAGGAAGCTTGGTACTGAGAGAAGCGTTGCTGGCCAGGAGGAGGAGGCTGGTGTCCCCAGCAGGGTGGACTTTGTAGTAAAGGCAGTCCTGTGGAAGGCTCCCCTTGGGCCATCATGTAATTGATACGCAAGGTCCCACTTAATCCTCAGAACAGCCTGGTGTGGTTGGGGACGTGACCCCAGACCTACTTACACATAGAAAACTTGAGGTCAGGGAAAACTAACTTGTGTGAGGCACGCAGCTAGGAAGGGCTGGGGCTGGGTCTGGGTCCCGTCTGAGTTTTGATGTTCGAGTGTTGCTTAGGATGGGTTTGAATGCTGGCTCAGATGGGACGATCTTTGGGAAGACAGAGGAATGCTGAGGCCCCGGGGTTCTTTGTTCAGTACCCATCACCTTTGTTCTCTCTGCCTTCCTTTCTTTTGCCCCCTTTTCTTCCATCGAACGAGGCTGAAGAATGTTTTATCTAGTTGCTTTATAGGCTTACGGAAGAGGTATGCTTTTTCTTCAGTTTAATTCAAGTTGGGCATTTTATATTTATCTGGAGACAGTTGTAAATGTCCCACACTTATGGAAAGCCCTTAATAGAACCTTTTCTGGGTCCAGACTCCTCATAAAAAAAAAAAACCCCAGAAAACCAAATCCCTTATTAACAAAAAACGCCATTTATCAGGAGCCTGTGGCTGATAGTGAACAGGACTTGCCTGTTCTGCCTCTCTATCACCAGGGGGCAGCAGAGAGTCCCAGAGAAAGCCACTAGGCGGCGCACAGTCCCATAAATCCTTTCCAGTTGCCGGAAATTCATCCTAATCTGATTTGTATCCTACTGGGTTTTAAACTCTTGTTTAGAAACCATTTCAGCTGTTGCGTAGGAGACATTTTATTCAAAGGAGTCAAAGGTCATTCCGATATCAGCGGTAATTAAAGAACCTTTGACCACACCTACTGTTTTTAAACCATCTGGCTTCTAATTAAGACCATTACGTTTGAAGTTTTGTTAACCCCCAAAAGACTATTTTAAGGTGGCCCTGCAGTTTCATTTTTGAAATGCTACATTGCCACTGAGAGATCCTGCCGGTTCCCCATCCAAGTCGAAGGAAAGTTCCCTGGGTGGAGTTGAACCTGAAATTCTGCAAGGGGTAGGTGGGAGCTCCTGGCCGGAGACGGGCTGCTAGTGTTGCTTCCTCCAACCGCAATCAGCTGGGGAATTAGTTACCTCAGACAGGCCAAGTTTGCATTGTGTTAATAACACATACATTTGATTAGCTGTTTAATGTTTGGGTACTTAGAGCTGTGAGTCTCAGTCAGATGTGATTTTGTCCCTAGGACACATTTGACAGTCAAAAAGCATTTTTAACAGTCACAAATGGAGAGAAGCTTCTTGCCTCTGCTGGCTAGCTAGCTAAATACCTCACTGCACATGGCAGTTCCCAGACCCAACTTCCAACACATACAATACAGAATTGCCCAGCTGGAGATGTTAAGAAATCCTGATACAAAGCTAGGTATAGTAGTATATGCCAGTGCGACAGATACTGAGATGGGGATTGCTTCCAGTTCAGGGCCGACTGGGCTGCTCAACAAGGTCAAAGTCAGCCTGGACTACTACACAAGAAAGGAAAAGGAAAAGGAAAAGGAAGGGAAGGGAAGGGAAGGGAAGGGAAGGGAAGGGAAGGAAAGGAAAAATAAACCGGGCATGGTGGTGCACACCTTTAGTCCCAGCACTAGAGAGGCAGAGGTAAGTAGATCTCTTGAGTTTGAGGCCAGACTGGTCTACAGAATGAGTTCCAAGACAGCCAGGGCTACACAGAGAAACCCTGTCTCGGGGGGACGGGGAAAGAAGAGAAAAAAATAATTTAAACCCTGATGTAGAACTAACTTAATTGCCCAGTCTTGAGTTCCAATACCTTAATTCTAGCTATTGTTTTGAGGTTTTTCGTGTGCCAAACACTAGCTAGGGCTTCATGGGACTGACTCAATGGCCACAACAACCCCACCTTCTAGCCTTGATTTTATCAACGGGACAATTGAGCAGCAGGCAACTTCCTTTCATATGTGAATGAATAAATGATCCCAGCCCACGGCCACTAGGCAATGCAGGCTTCTGAGGAAAGTGGTCTTCTGGTGCAATATGACCTGTCTCTCCCACACTGGTCACTTTGTAGCCCATGCACACATCCCCACTTCTCACTGTTGGTCCGATTATGAGGATAATGGCTACGTGTCACTGAGCAGAGGCTCTTTCACGACTGAATAAATGATGGCGTGGACAGGCCCGCCCGTGAGCAGCGCGGCCTCCTGTTTGAGCCCAGCTGCTCAGACACAGACACTTGCAAACCCTGACAGATAACCCCACCACACCGGAAGGTCACAGCGCTGTCCCCTTCAGAATGAGGCATGGGAACGGAAACTTAATCCATCAACCAATGTGGCCGACACCTCGCCAAAGCTAGAGGACGAAGGAGAGAAAATCCTAAGTGAAAACAGTGAGCAGGGCTCAAGGTTTGGGGCATATTTGGTGAGGGAGGGAGAAGACAGGGCTGTAAAAAAAAAAAAAAAAAAAAAAGGCTGCAGGGAACTAGTGTGCTTAGGCAGAACGCCACAAAAGCTGGCTTCTCTTCTATTTAAAAAACCACTTGGTCTCTTAGGAGCCCCAGTCAAGGTAAGCCTCAATACAGAATATGAGATTTATAAGAAAAGGTGTTGTGGGATATTTGTCCATTGGGTGAAGATATATTTGATGTGATTGCGGTAATAAAAAAGCTAAATAACCAATAACTAGGCAAAAGGTATAGGCAGGATTTCAGGGGAGAGAAAGGAAGAGGAGGAGAATCTAGGTACACAGGAGATGCTAAGAGACACGGAGGAAGAAACAGGAGGTGCAAGATGAAGAGAGGTAATGCCACATGATAGAACACGGATTAATATAAATGGGTTAATTTAAGTTATAAGAGCTAGTTAGGAACAAGCCTAAGCTATAGGCTGAGCTTTCATAATTAATAAGAAGTCTCCGTGTTGTTTTTTTTGTGAGTTGGTGGCCCAAAGAAACATCCACCTACCAAAAGGTACCTTGCCCAACTTGCTCACTGGTGCATCCCTGACATTCAACCAGGAGGAAAAGAAGGAGCAAGTAAGCAGTCCTGTGGTCAGGGAGAGAGCTGTGATGCCTGCAGGGACCCAGGGAACTTGGAACTCAGGACCTGTCAGGTGCTGAGGTGGGCACTTGAACTTCTGTGACCCATCGCTTACACAGTATAGTCTGGAGGTACAAGGACAGGGGATAAATAACTGACTATGGTCATGCCCTGACCTCCTTCTGTATCCTTCCAAACTGCCCCGTGTTTGTGACCCATTGTTTACCCACTGTCATCTACAGGCAAGGAAACAGGGTGGGCACCTGTCCTGCAGTTGTGTTCCTGGCCCTGGGTCAGCACCTGACTCCTTCCCAAATCCAAATGCGAGACATCTGGGACAATGAGACAAAGGACAGTGAGTGGAAGATCAGGGGCAAGCACGCTGGTTCAGCCCCGCCCCCCAAAAGACATTTCCAGTGGTAAAGGGATCATAGCTAGTATTTAAATTCTTACTGAGTACTCACACATTCATAAACAGTCAGAATGGAACCGGCTTGAAAGTCACTCAGAATACTTTTGTTTTTCAGATGCAGGACCCCATGTAGCCCAGGCTGGCCCGAATTCCCTATGTAAGCAAGGATGACCTTAAACTCCTGCTCTCCTGCCTCTATCACCTAAGTGCTGGGATTTCAGGTATGTGCCACCACATCCGGCAACAGAGCACTCTTTAAAATAAAGTAATAAACTATAGAGGCCCCAAGAAGGAAAAAGGACCCATCGAGGGCTCTGGAGAGGGAAAAAGCAGAGCTCTCCTGACGACGCCCAAGAAGCTGGTGAGAGAGGGGCAGGTGGCCACCATTACCTGGGTTTTTTAATCTTGAGCAGAAGCCTCATGGACCTGCCCCTCATTCTGGATGGTCGAATGCAGCAAACAAACGGCAGAGTGTGGCTTGCTCAGTGCACGTGACTGAGAGCGCGCAGGAGAAGTTACAGTGGGCAGAAACAATGAGCTGGACTCCTAGTCCAGTGCTCTCCCCGCTGATGGACTCAGCCACCCACAAAACTCACCGGAAGTTACTACGTGCTGCTCCATGTAAAGGGGGGCATTTTACAAGCACGTGTGACTCGCCGGGCGGTGGTGGCGCACGCCTTTAATCCCAGCACTTGGGAGGCAGAGCCAGGCGGATCTCTGTGAGTTCGAGGCCAGCCTGGTCTACCAAGTGAGCTCCAGGAAAGGCGCAAAGCTACCCAGAGAAACCCTGTCTCGAAAAACAAAAAACAAAAAACAAAAAAAACAAAAACAAAAAAAACAAACAAAAAAAAAAAACAAAAAAAAACAAGCACGTGTGACTCAAGATGTGGCTGCTCCTGATTTTTACCTTTATTAAAATTAGAATTATTGTTGGGCAGTGGTGGCGCACGCCTTTAATCCCAGCACTCAGGAGGCAGAGGCAAGCGGATCTCTGAGTTCGAGGCCAGCCTGACCTTCAGAGCCAGTTCCAGGACAGCCAGGGCTGCACAGAGGAACCCTGTCTCCAAAACCAGAAACAATACCATTATTTATTTGTAGGGGATAGACACTTGTGTGCCATAATCGTTCATGTGGAGGTCAGAGGTCAGAGGTCAACTTGCAGGAGTGTGTTCTCTCCTTCTACTACACAGATTTTGGAAACTGAACCAGGGGGTTGGGATTGACAGCAGGAGCCTTTATTTGCTGAGCAATTGGAATATCTCAGTTTTTACTTTTGGACCTAAAATTGTTATTTAATCTGATGCCTGAAAATATATCATTGTGAAGGTATACGCTAAATAATCTCATTGAGGGGCTGGGAATGTAGCTCAATGGTGGAGTGGATGCCTAGCATGTAGAAGACTCCAGGTAGAGTCCCCAGCAACACACACACACACACACACACACACACACACACACACACACACACACACACACACAGATACACACACACAAAGAGCTATGAGCTAAGTGCTGGAAATGTATGTCAGCGGTAGAGCATTTGCTTAGCATATACCCATAAACAGGCCCCAAGTTCAATTCCTAGCATGTATATATGCCTGGTATTAATAGTCCCTTATCACCCTTACCTTGGTAGAATCAGGACTGGCAGAAGAATGAGCCCCGTAGATTCTAAGGACTTCCTCAACTGGGATACTGTTCTGTGAAATAAAAACAATGTGTTGTCATATTGTGGATTTTTTCTTGATTAAAAAACAGAATTCCTGCCGCTCCAATGAGTCTAATACAGTGCAAAGTAGCACAGCAATTAGATAATAATTTCTAGATAAATGGGTAGACAAGTTTTCTAGACACTAACATCTCTCATCTTTTTTTTCTTGTCTCCCACAAATATTTTTTTTTGCAATACAGTATGGAAGCCAAATTTTCTATTATGCATTTAAAAAATCATAAATTTTACCATTAATAAACCCTAGGCATTTAGAAGCAATATTGAAAACACATAACTATGCATTAGTACCAAAATGGGCTTAGAAGTCATATAATGAAGCTGGGTGTGCGGGACACACACGCCTTTGATCTGAGCACTCTGTGATTTTGAGGCCAGCCTGGGCTACAGAGTCAGTTCCAGGATAGTCAGGGAGGGCTACACAGAGAAACCTTGTCCTAAAAGGGCAAAAAATAAAAATGAAAAATAAAAAAAATAAAAGAAAGAAAGACGCATGGGATGTCTGCATACACAGCGTTCTTCCCCTCACCATTAAGACTCCAGCATAAGATGATAAGATCACCGCTTCTCGCTCTTTTCGGTTTGGATACAGAGGTCTGCCATGAAGTGGCGTTTTCCTGAGGGGAAATATGGATAGAGAAGAGTTGGGGGTTGGGGGTGGCGCTTGTGTGTACGGAGGATGGAGAGGCCACCCTCAGATGTCACTCCTCTGGAGCCACCCACCTTGGTTTTTGAGTCAGGGTCTCCCACTGGACCTGGGGCTCAGCAAGTAGACTAGGCTGGCGTCTAACACCAGGGGTCCACATCTTTGCCTCTTCGGTGCTGTGATTATAAATGTATGCCACCATGCCCGGTATTTTACGTGGGTTCTGGGGATCACACTCCGGTCCCCTTGCTCACATGGTAAGCGCTGGCTGAGCCGTCTGTCTTCCAGGCTCCTACACTTGTTCTTTTTGAGACCTGCTAAGGTTGTGATGCTAATCCGTAAGTAGCCAGCAATGACTGCGCATTATCCACTTTTTAAATAGGCTTAATCTGATTGATTTTCTGTCTTTGAAACACCTGCTTTGAATTTTTAATCTTCCAACAAAGTGACAAATTTTTCTTTTTTTGTCTGTTTTTTTTTTTTTTTTTTTTTTTTTTACTAAAGCTGTCCCAAATGCTGACTGGCCCCATGGTGGCTGGTTACGGCTTTGCTAGCAGGTATCCATTCCACCTCCCATCATCTGCTTGGAGGAACCTGCCTGACTTTACTGTAAGCTTGCACACCTTTAGGGAGGCTGGAAATACCCCTAAATTCTGAGAATGGGTCCAGCCGGTGTGTTCCATGTCCAGAAACAGAGACATTGAGACACATGCCAGGTCTGCTTGTTGTTTGTTTAAATCGGTCCTGGTTTGGACTGAACCTTGTTATGAAGTGAGCTGACTCTAACGGTGTCCACTTGGGAGAAAGAGACTGGAGGTAGGAGCTGGCAGCATTAGGGGAAGTTTAAAAAAATATATCACATTTATTTAGTGTGTGTGTGTGTGGGGGGGAGAAGACCGAGAGGGAGAAGGGGCAGAGAGATCACATTGCACATTGTGTGTGTGTGTGTGTGTGTGTGTGTGTGTGTGAGAGAGAGAGAGAGAGAGAGAGAGAGAGAGAGAGAGAGAGAGAGAGAGGAACAGAGACAGAGACAGAAAGGGAGAGGAGAGAAAGAGAGGGAGAGAGAAAAGAGAGAGAGAGAGCTTGCCTCCCTGTGGAACACCTGTGAAGGTTAGAAGACACTTTGAGGGAACTTGCTCTCTCTTTCCACCCCGTGAGCTCCAGTGGTTGAATTCCGATAGTCAGGCTTGTTGGCAAGCCCACCGAGACATCTCGTCAGTCTGCGCTCGGAATTACTGTGCCTAACAGTCCAGCTCACAAACTTTTCAGCTACAGGGGCAATTCAACTCGCCTCCCCCACCTTCTCCCATCCTCGCGATGTCTCGTCTTCCTCCTCCCCCTCACTGTGGTTCCTTCCCTAAGCTTGTTCAAACCGGATTTTCTGCTTGTTGCTGTCCATTCCTAACCGTGACCTTGAGCCAGGACCATGGGGTAGAAACAGTGTCTGGACTTTGGAATGAGCTATTCCTCGTGGCCTCTCAGTGCCCTGTCTGACCAGTCAAATGCACCTGCTAAGTCACTACACTTGAAGGAAAATGCTGATAACCCTGGGGAGGAAATGATCGGACAGACTCCAGCACTTTGCTGCTTACAGGCTCCAGAAACTGTAAGATCGTCCTTGGGAAGCAATTTCAGGCTTTACCTACAGAACTGACTAAGAACAATAGCTTGAAGTCATGTGAGCTTCTCAGGAAGAGCTGCCCATGCGAGATTTTTATTTTTAAATGTACTTGACAGAAACCAATGATTAGAAATACTAACTATGTGAGCATACCTATGATGTCCTCAAGCCGCAGCTGTAGCGTGTCTTCAACTTCTAGCTGGAGGAGAAGTTTGCCTTGTGTTTGTACATCAGAGTGCCTCATAAGAAGACGCCAGATAGGGCTGGAACGTCCTCCGTCAACGAGAGTCATGTTTTACAAGGGAAACCTGCAAGGGCTGAGGAGCTGTCTCCGTAGGTAAAGTGCTTGTCCTGTGCAATCATGAGGACCTGAGTTTGGAGCCCTCCCCCTCCCATGTCAAAACCTGGGCATGGTGGCACATCCTATAATCCTAGTGCTGGGGAGATGGCCATGGGGACAGGAGGCTCCCTGGAGTTTGCTGACCGGCTAGTCTTGCTCATAGCGAGCTCCAGATCCAGTGGCAGCTCTCTCAAAAAATAAGATGAAGGGTGACAGAGGAAGACACTGACATTGACCTCCGACCTCTGCATACACCCACATCCCTACACAGGAGTACGCATACATGCTTATCTCCCGACCCACATTAAATAAATAGAGAGATTACAAAGAAAAACAGCGAACATATTTCAGCTTACACTTTCTCCCACTGGAGCCAAGTTAAGTCTTCTGAGGGATCTAGCCATTGACAAGCGACACTGGCGGCCAAGTCATAGTGGGCCTGGAAGCAGGAAATAGAGAGCAGAGGGCGTGGGTTCAGATCCCGACAAAGCACTTCCCCCCGGACAATGGCATCACTAAGCCATGTTCCAACTGGGGAGGATTCTTATTTATAAATAGCCTGATGCTCAGCTATTTCAGGATCTTTGGGCATTTACTTTATCTCCCACTAAATAGTCACTTGCTGTGTGTGGTCCAGGAAAGAAAGAACCCTCAACTGGGAATGAGGGAATGTGGCCTCACATTGGGATTGTCAAGGGTTTATTCTTGGGTGAGGATGAGCATTGGGCCTCCCTTGGAGAAAGAAGGCTACAGAGAACATTTTTGGATCCTGTTTGGTGTTAGAAATGCACTCCCAGAGGACAGGGGAGGTGTGGGAATGTGGAGGGAGGTACTGCGGCGCTCACCTGGGGAGATAGAAACAATCCTGGAAGACTTCACTGAGGAGGCATCCTCAGAGCTAGGGCTTGTAGGAAAGGGGCATTTCTGCAGATGGAGAAGGTCATTCCAGGGGGACATTGCATGAACAACGGGCCAGATAGGCCTGACTGAGTGACAGGTGGACAGCCTCACACCCAGTACAAAACAGGGTCAATTTTTGTGCTGATGCTTATCACGATGGTGACCCTTCCCCAGGTCATCTGTAAGCTCTTACTTAATAAACATGTTTACCACTTAGTATCAACATTTCCTTCTCATCCTTATATCCAGGAAAGCGAAGGTCGGTCTGGGTTTGGTTAAGGTTCTAAGAATTTCTAAATAATGTAATGATGCCCTCCAGTGACCCGACTAAAGTAAAATGTCGACCTAAATAATAAATAAGGGGTTTGGACCACGGTCATTTGTTGAAACCTCATCTGGAGTCTGATATCTGGATGAGTCACAATGGTCGTGCTCATTAGAAATATAAGCACCCAGCCCTACCCACAACCTCCAGAATCAAAATAGCTCTGTAATAATACCTCATTAAAGTTTGAGAAGTACAGCTCTGATCGGATTAACTTCCTGTGTGGTGTGTTTAACTATAAACCCTGGCTTTACACAGAGGGAAACTGAGGAAAAGAGACACATCCCTCTTAGCGCAAGGATAGCTCGTGGGCAGGGGGTAAACTGAGTTTACTGATTTCTTTGGGATTAAATCTTTCTATAATTTCTTCTCTAACTTCGGTGGAGAGAGCTAGCAGAGCTTCACATGAGCCCGGACTCAGTATGAGTAGCGAAAAGGATTCTAGGGTCATGTATCACTGTGCCTTTACTGCGCTAATGCAAACGATGATAGGTGATTAGAGTTGAGAACTATACTATTGCTAATTTTGTCGAGGTCTTTAACACTGTGGGTTAACGTTTTAGCTTGCAGTCATTTGTTTTTTAATCTTTTCTCACCTATGTTTATTTTCATATTCTCTTTCTGCTTTCTACTTAGTGGATGAAGACGATCACAGGGACAACCTCAGGATGAGGAAAACTTAAGGACGAGGATGGGGTGCCTGTGTGCATGCGAATGTGAGTGTGCGAGTGTGTGTGTGTGTGTGTGTGTGTGTGTGTGTGGTGTCACATGTACATTTGATCCCTGTCCTGTCCCCTTATTACATACAGAAGGCAATGGGAGTTGTACCAGCATGACATTCTTTACCATCTCATCTAGAAAGGTGAGGTGGCCTCTTCCTTTTGGATCAAATTCATTTTCCCGAAGTCTGATGCCAATGTACTCTCCCCTTAAAAGCAAGAGAGCAGCATTGAACTATGGGGAACAATATAGGGTTCCGTCATCAGAAAGAGGCTTTTTTCCCTCAATCCCTCCCCCCACCCTGACAAAAATGCCACAGAAGTCATTGATGGTTTAGTAGTTGTTAATATTCAATTTTGGCTTGCATAGTGATCTCCAAAGGCTACTGGTTTGAAACATCTAATCACAATGAACTTAAAATACATTTATCTTAATATTAAATTCATCGTTGGAAAGCAGGAAAAATGCAAAATGTCAACACACAGAAAATATTTTCTTTTGTAAGAGGAGGGCTAAGCTCCACTGTAAAAAAATAAAGATTTTCTGCCCGGCATGATATTCCATGCCTTTAATCCCAGCAGGATATAGAAACAGACATACCTCCTATGGGTGTTTATACTCAAAGAGAGGCTATAACATAAAAGAATATGTTTTTTAAAATATTTCCCACAGAACACGCTAGTATTGGACATTCTGCCTGGAGTTAGCATGGCCAGCAAGGAAATATCTATCTATCTATCTATCTATCTATCTATCTATCTATCTATCTATCTATCTATCTATCTATTTTTATTTATCTGAGACAGGGTCCCTGTGTAGTCACGGCTGTGCCAGAACTCTGTAGAGAAAGCCAGCCTTGAACTCAGAGATCCACTTGCCTCTGCCTCCCATAGTGCTGGGATTAAAGGCGTGAGCCACCACACCTGTCAGAGGTGGCGTTCTTAACTACCATTTGTTTTTTCTTGTTATATTGGCTTCCAAACACGTATGTGTAAACACAAGTGAATTCCACCCATGCTTATTCCAGTATCTCTTAAAGGTTTAGTAGAAGACAATCAACTTTACAGGCAGACAAATGACATTTGATGGAATCTATGATAAGCTCTTCGATGAAAAAAGAAACTTATTAGTGTTGTGCCAATAATACATACAAAATAAAATATGACTTCTCGTTGTATGATCTGTGATAATTTTTTTAATCAACATTTTGAAGTACCAGGTTGAAGAAAGACTGAATGGGATGGGGGAAATGTATGGGAAACTTGATCTTGATCAGTCAAGAAAGTTCAGAAGTCAAGAAAAAGGAGATGGGTTATTTGGTTGTTAAGCTTGGCAACAGAAGTGGCAGAGACTCTGGTTTGAATGCTGGGCCCTAGGGCACATCTAGGCATCTATAGCTTTTGCCAGCAAGTGCTCCTGCTTTCAGTGGTACATCCTGTCCCCCTAGGCTTTGGGGGTGCCTTGCTCAGGCATGCTGCTGCAGAAGCATTTTCCCAAGAGACTCTGCTTCCTGCCCTGCACCACATTTGCCCGCCTGGCAGAGATAGAGGCCAGAGCATCTACTGGCTTTCTCCCACAGAGCAAAGAGATCCCTCCTTAGCTTTTTGTCCACCTGCCAATATCCAGACCATCTGTGACAGCGTTCCAAACGTGATGGTCAGAAACGAAAGTTATTTCAGCGATACTCACAGTAGCCTTTTCACCTCCTGCTTTACAAGCCTCTTTTCCATGACGGGAGGCCAGGGATGAGCGGGTACCGGTAGCTTGCGCTCCACCTGATAGGCTTTAGGAAGAGCAATTTCTGCAAAGCCTAGAAACTACAGCAGCAAATCAGAGAGAATATGAATTAGGGATGCTGTTGCTACAAATACCAGTCATGGAATCGGAGGCTGTGGAAGGGATTCGAGAGCATCCAGAATTCAGGCCTTCTTCTATCCAGCAAGTGCCAAGTCAGAAAGTGACCTGGAGGCTAGCCCTGGACCTTGTGCCCATCTGACAGCTTATTCCTTAAGTTCTAATTCCAAGAAATACATTTATTAAGTCACTTAATTTGTGTGTGCCTGTGAGTGCAGGTGCCCATGTGCCACGGCACAAGGGTGGAGGTCAGAGCGTAACGCTCAGGAGTTGGTTCTCTTGTGATGTCACCCAGGGAGGGAACTCAGGTCCTCAGACCTGAGGTTAGGTATTTTGCTGAAGTGTGTTTGAGTATTTTGACCTGCTGAGCCATCTTGCTTGCCCTCTTTCAAGTTTTTCTCACATTCACTGTGTGCTCATTCTCACACCCATCTAGGTTCTGAGATAGAGATGGTTCAGGTAGCAGCTGAGAAGGTTCTTTGGGTAGAATCACTCATACAGGCTGACTTCTGGTCTGGATATATGGGAAGTGTCCTGTGCACAGTCAACACCGTGACTCTCAGTGTGTTCATGCTGGAGTGACAGCTAGTGATGGAACCGTCCGTGACTTCCCAGAGCTGTCATTGGCTGTCATTTGACAGTCTACACAATAGTGGCAGATGTGTCTTCAGTGCCCACCTTGACTTTGAACTGGAAGGGTAATGGGATCAAAGGTGCTCTGAAATCACACACACACACACACACACACACACACACACACACACACACACACCCCTCCTGATTTTGTTTCCCTGAAGAAGACAGCTGATGATAGATGCAACAAAAACATCGACAGACTATTTAAATCATGCGTGTGATTTAAAGTCCCTCCTTTAAAAACAATTGAAGCGATAACTTGCTCTTCCTGCTGCTGCCTCTGCTTCCGCCTGTGGGAAGGAGCATGTGGCTAAGAAGAGGTGAAGGAGCCTCTCAGAGAGGATACAGCTATTGCTCTGATTAGGAGAGGACGGGAGAGAATATGCCGCAAGTTAGAAAGGAGGCCTCACGGTCTAGGAGAAGCCAGGATGCCCCAGGATGAGGCACCCCCTCTACAAGTGACTGATGTGACCATGGTCAAGCTGCTTGGCCCTCTGATGTTACAAGAAACAGAAACAAAAAGCAACAAAACAAAACAAACAAACAACAACAAATAAACAAAAAAACGGGTCTAGTTAACTTCTTGCCAGACTTCACCCTGACATTCTATCATTCCATTATGGCTGAAATGTGTTAGGATTCTTTTAATTCAACAATTTATAAAAGCATAAACTCATAGGATTTTGTCCTATTTCATTCCTGTGGGGGAGCCTGTCCCCACTCCCCCGACTCCCCCACCCACCCACCCCCCGGGTACGCTTGAGCAGGGAGAAATGAGGAATACATAGATGGAAATATTGAGGAAAGAGACAGAAACACAGGATAGCCTTGGGAGAGCCTGGGTCAAAACCCACCGGCCTCATCTGTCTCTACTAAAGGGCTTTTTAAAGGAAAGCCAAAGGGTGGAGCAAAAGACCTCCCCCTGCCAGCACAGCCAAGTGCAGACCATCCCAAATGCCTGGTGACTGTGCATGTGATGTGGTCAAGCCATCTTCTAATGCAGCCCTGCTGGGTAAAGCAAGCTCAGATCTCACTAGGAAGCTTTTGTGGGCTCCCACACATTCCTTAATAGAAAGTGGGCTCAATTTCTTGGCAGGAAGTGGGCTCAGTCTCTTAGCAGGAAGTGGGCTCAATACCTTGGCAGAAAGCAGGATCATTAGCTTTGAAGCCTGCATAATGAAGGTCTTAGCATTTTCTTTAACCAATTCTTGTCTTACAGCTCTGAGCAAGCCCTTCGATTTTCATACTTATGAATTACAGATTTGCGTCTTTTGATTGCTGCCACAGCTTTCTCTTAGCACCCCCATCCCAACATGGTATAATCTCTGAAGTGGTATCATTCATATATATATATAATATTTTTGATATATATATATATATATAATATTTTAAATATCAACAATACGAGTGCCTACCACCTCTAGATCACTAGGCAGGGGCTCAGGAGACCTTGAAAGACCACCAATTAGCTGTGTCACCTTATGCAAATTAGCTTTCTGGGTTTTTTTTGCCTTTCTTCTTGTCTGGTGAGGTTATTGTCTGGAAATTCTCCTACGATTGTCAGCCATTTGCATAGACTATTCAGTTAGGCTTGATTTTTGCCGGCCACTCTTTTCTGTCTATAGAGCTCTAAAGGAACCAAGATCATTACCTTGAAATACGCCCAAAAGGGACACTGCTAAGATGCCAGCTGCCTCAAGCTCTAGCTTCTTTATAGACATCAAGTCCCCCCACTCCATGTCACAATCCCCGTAGTTTAAGGAACCCTGGGCACTGTAGACTATCCGCACATTCCAAGCAGATCCCCTCTGCACAATCCTGTCTCAGTGATACATAGATGTCTACTACATTAGACTAGTTGCAGGCTCTTACCAACCTCCTCCCCCGCTCCCCAGAACGTCTCACCAACTGGAGGCTAATTGTGGCCCTTCTGTTCTTCCTGGTACCTGCAGGCCGGCTTGAGCATTGGAAGGCTTGAGCTGCTGCTCAAAGTCATCCTGAACGCAGATGCTTTTGCCTGGTTGCTAGGAAACGGTGACTGGATGAAAATAGTTTTATAAACATCCTCCTGTCTCCTCCCACGCACATATGAGGGGGGGTGTCGTATATTTGAGACAGATTGTGACCCTGGCCTCTAGTTCACATATCTTTTCACCTGAGTAGGCACAGGTGTAGCAGCTAAATGATTAATCAGGAGAGCGAGATGAGAAGAGGAGGCCACTTCCCCAGGTTTTCTTTTTTTTTCTCTCTTTCCTTCCTTCCTCGCTTCCTTCCTTCCTTTCTTGCATCCTTCCTTCCTTCCTTCCTTCCTTCCTTCCTTCCTTCCTTCCTTCCTTCCTTCCTTCTTTCCTTCCTTCCTTCCTTCTTTCCTTCCTTCCTTCCTTGCTTCCTTCCTTGCTTTCTTGCTTGCTTCTTTCCTTTCTTCTTTTCTAAAATAGCATTTGGCTACAGATGGAGGGGTCAGAGGACCTTGCTAGAGAAGCCAGTGGAACTCCAGCAACTTCACACTTAGAGCACCCCAAGAAATCTCTTGGGGTGATTCTACTCAATGAGTATGAATACAGAGCAGTGGAAATCCTGGGAAACGGCCTCCTGGGAACAAACCATCATGGCTGGTTCGTTTTGGGCCAACTTAACACCAACGAGAGTCATTTGGAAAGAAGGAACCTTTCTTTGGTTCTAGTTGAGGGGTTGCCTTCATCAGATGGCTTGAGGCAAGCGTGTAAGGGCATTTTCTTGATTAATGATTAATGGAGGAGGGTCCAGCTCACTGTGGGCGGTGCCACCCCTGGTCAAGTGGTCCTGGGTTGTCTAAGTAAGTAGGTTAAGCAAGCCATGAGGAGGAAACCAATAAGCAGTGTCCCTCATGGCTTCTGCTTCAGTTTTTGCCTCCAGGTTCCAGCCTTGAGCTCCTTCCCCTGCTTCCCTGTATAATGGACTCTAGTCTATAACATGTGAAAAACCCTTTCCTCCGCAGGATCATTGGTGATCATTATTTTATCACAGCAACAGAAAACCAAACTAGGACCTATTACCCCTGCTCCCCTGATGAATTGTACCCTTGCTTACACACTCTCCTTGTCCAAGTAGAAGACTTCTCTTTGCTCTTATGATAACATCTAAATGTCTAGTTGGATATTCTGCCCCTGGGCTGGGGACGCATTATCAACACTCCTTTCTTTGTGTTTCTGGTACTAAGGATGGAACCTAGGGCCTGTTCATTCTAGGTAAACACTCTACCCATGAGCATTATAGCCACAGACTATAAACACTTCTATTAATCATCGCTTTCCTCTCTCTTGGTTATGTTGCGGAGGAAAAATATCTTTCCTCAATACCAAATTTCCTGGCTGAGGACTTCCTAATAATAGACTGAGAAATAACAATAAGAGAAAGGCATTAATACAGCTAATATGTTTTATATGACATAAGATATTTCATAATCAAACGAAGACACAAAGAAGCAGGTAGTCTGAGTGTTTACATATTGAGTTTTGGAAGAGTGGACAGTGTTAGCATTTCCGGCATCACCTAGCCAGTCCCAGGGCCCTACGGCCGCACATGCGCTGTCAGTATTCAGGCAAATGCTTAGTCCAGTGTGCGCATGTGCTGCGTGGCTGCGGAGTCTCTATGCACATGCGCTAAATTCCCTCCTTAAAGGCAAACCCATTCCCATCTCTCTCTCCCTTCCACAGCTTCTTTATCTGCTTCTGCACCCTCTTCTCTTGCCCCATCCAGTCCCATCTCTCTTTCTCTTCCTCTCTCTTCTCTCCCTGCGGCTTCTTGTCTCCAGAGGCCACCCTGTGCCTCCTTTCTCTCCCCTTCTCTCCCTTCCCCTTAATAAAATCCTCCACGTGAGCCCTGTTGCATGCGTGGTGTGTCTGTCTGTGCCTCCTGCCATTTTATATCAGACAGTCACCGTGAAATAGGAGTGACAGAGATTCTGTGATGCCGCGGTGATACCCTGGGAGACTTAAACCAAGCCGGCTTGCTCAAGTGCTTCTCTGCTCCTGTGTCGTTGGCTCCCCTCCAGATCAGGAAGCCACCTGTCACCTGAGAAGTTAGGATCCGCTTCAAGTGAGAACTGGCAGCTATTGCTGGCTTTGGGGAGAAGGTAACAGTGACCTTCCTGTTGCGATTGCTTCCTCAAAGCCAACATGCCAGGGTCCCCATTTCTCTGAAGGGTCTCATGTCACAAAACTGTTTGCTTTCTTCTTTGCATGTTATGAGAGGGGCCTAGGATTGGTAGAGAATAGATCATCTCTCCTATAATCAGATGGTTGTTTTTTTAGCATTCGGATTTGGTGTGTGTGGTAATGGGGCACCACACGCACCAATGTGTACATGCCCACAGCATATAACAAACCATTATATATGAATGGAGTATTTTATTCATAAAGGGATACAATTGTATAAACTTCTCTGTGGAAAGAAAAGACCAAACATTCTAGGGTGACGAGGAGAAATAAGCCTACTCTCGGATTTAGACATGTCTGGGCACATCCGGACAGGTCTGGAGGATTAGTGACTATGGGAGCATCCAGCTTCCGTTTGGATCAGTGCTTCTTCTAACTTTGGCTGTGTGTTCCACCTGAGGAACTTTTAAAACTCCCAGAACCATCACCTTTGAATCTCCTGAGAGTGAGATCAAGACATCGTTTTCCTTACATTTCCATGAAGGCTCTGATATACAAGGAAGGTTGGTGGTCACAGATGCATGTCGGAGACGGAGGAACATCTGGGTGGGAGGTGCTTCATCACCACACAGCTGCACCATACTATAGCTGAGAGAAAGTTCTCTTCGTTTCAAAAAGATGATGAATGATGGGAAACAAGGCTGTCAGTGAAAAACATCTTAGAGGTGACCCCTCCCCCATGCTTATACTAAGTTCCTTTTTTAAAAATTAAAATATAATTGTATCATTCCTCCCCTTCCTACCTCTCCCATGGCCCCCTCCCTCATAAATTCATGGCCCCTTTTTCTTTGTTTTACACACACACACACACACACACACACACACACACGCTCTGTTTAGTGTTACTTGTATTTATCTGATTTCAGGGCTGACCACTTGGTATTGGATAACCAATTTACCTGTGAGAGGGCTCCTCCTGAGGGAAGGCTATTTCCACTGCTCTCTGTATTCCTCAGTTGCCTGTCGTTCTTCGTTTAGGAGTGGGGCCCTGTGAGGTCTCCCTGCTTCCACGTTGGCATGTCTATTGATGTTGTACTGCTTCATTTCTGCAGCCATATTATTGAGGTGTCATGGCTGAAGCTACCCTGTCATTTCTAGGAGACACAACCCCAAGGCATAGTTTCTGGTCCTCTGGCTCTTAGATAGTCTTTCTGCCTCCTTTTCCCCCGGTGTTCCCTGAGCCTTAATGTGCAGGAGTTGTGTTGTAGATGTTTTCACTGGAGCTGGGCACTCTATGATCGATTCTTCTCTGTGTTTTCACTAGTTTTGGTCTCCTGGAATGGTCCCCATCTGTTGCAAAGAGAAGGTTTTTCTGTTTGTTTTTGCACTGGAGAATGCACATATGCGTGCATGAGTGTGTGTGTGTGTGTGTGTGTGTGTGTGTGTGTGTGTGTGAGAGAGAGAGAGAGA